AAAAAGTGTCGAAATGCGCAGAAGAAGAAGAAGAAGGTATGTAAACCCCGTAAGCTCATAGGTGAGAAAAGTGACGGAAAAAAACTTGCTGGCAACAATGAAAAATTTCGATTTCTGCTGCAATCTTGAAACCGGTATTTATGATAAATATTTCTACGTGTTTTTTGCTTAAGAAAACGTAAGAAAAGTGTTGTTGTTATGTCTGTGTCAACAATCGCCTATTGCCAAGCCATGCTTGGCTGCTGCTGGAGTTGTTGGCTCACATTTCGATTACAAGTAATTTTACATATCTACGCAAATATGTTTGTATCGGCAAAATATTATAATCTCTTAAGCTGTATAGCTGCTCAAGACCACGCCAATCGCTAATCGCCTTTATTTTCTTACATTTTTGTAGAGTATTTTAAGCCAAAAATTTTGATTTGCTGTTAGCGTGGCCGGGGAGAGCGGGTGATGAGCAGCCCGAAAACCCCAAATATCCGCAAACGCATGCGCGCATGTAATCAATATGCTGGCGTAGCAGTAGTAGAAGAAGCAGAAAAATTACATATACACAAAAGAAGAGATTAAACAAAAATTGCGATATTCAAATTGAGTAACGCCGCGCGTGATGAATTCCGGTTTCGAATTTACTGATTGAATTTTACGCGCATGCCAAGCAACGTTGTTGCCGATTTGTCACTTTATAGTGGTTTTTGACATTTTTAGGTGAGCCGAAGATTTATTTGCACAAATACATAGACGCACATGCGCGTCAATAAATCCCGATACACTAAATTTAGTAGTAGGTGCATATATCTAAATATGTTGATCTAATGCGAATTGTTGCTGCATAATTAAAGGTGTGTTGAGGTTACTGATTTGTTGTATTCACAAACAAATATTCATTTTTTGTTATTGTTTTTGTGCCAGGAAGTTTATTAATTGCAGTCTTCAGTACTCACCACAACTGTTCTCATCTGAACCATCTGAGCAATCCTTCTCGCCGTTACAGAAAAGTCCACGCTCAATGCAATTACCATCACCACAAGCCAAGAAGCCATCTTGACAGAGTGGCTCATCTGTATGCAGCAAAGGCTTAACACGGCGTTCTTTGTTCTTTGATTTGCAATTTTTCACAGATTCTTTCCAGTCGCAAGTCTGTTTCTCAATATCGAAGAACAGACCAGCCGGGCAACGAATAGCTTGCAGGCCCTGTGGGGGAAAGGAAAACAATTATCAAATCACGATGAGTTTTAAGAATTTTTGAGGAATGTTTATTTAGTACCCTATTTAATTTAATTATAATTCTATGGCTACTCTAACGAAATATTTAAGCATACAAACCCATTTCATGTTTTAATAAATATTTTGTATAATTTTTTTTTTTGCATTAGGTTACTTAAGTTTTAAATTATTTCTTAGGTGGCAACCCTATGCAAAAATGTTTCTTAAAGCTAGCAGCAAAACAATTCATTAGATATAAGTATTGCTGTAATTTTTTTAAATAGCAGCGTTTATGGACATTTTTGTTGATATTCTATTCCATGACAGACATGTAAAAAGTGAACTTTCAAATTATTTTGAGGTGGCAACTCGATACAAAATTATTTTCTAAATTACAGCTAACAGCAAAACCATTCATTAGATATGAACATTGTGTTATTGCTTGTACACTATATCTAAAATACTCTGATTTGTAGAAGGATGGCAACCGTTTTTGAATTTTTTTTGGCGTAAATTGTTTTTAAATTTGTTCTTATGTACCTGTGACACAAATTTTCTATTTTAAAATAACATTTATTACCCAAGCCTGGTTGCTTTGTAAGCTTTATCGGCTTATTTCGCTCCCTACTCAGTTAAATTGAAAAAAAGAAACATTGTGAAACGAACTATACAGAGTTTTTTGATAACTTAATCTCAGTAGAGGTCTTGAGAAGCACTATGTGTCACTTGCGGTATACTTACATATCATCATTGATCTCTGGGGTAAAGAAACCCTTTTTTCACCTAAAAGCATTGCAAATTTTCCCGTCTCGAAGTGAATGCGAAAGGGCGTTTATGCAATTCGTACTAGCGTTGTCATGGAAAGACTTCAGAGAGCGATAACTAGTAGTGACGAATGCATGAAATGCATGAAGCAAGGAGCTGAGACCTCATCCGCTTATATCCGGCGCATAGTGTACGATTTCGGAGCATCGATGGACAAAGTTGTAAATTTCTCGATAGGAATAAGATAAAAATATGGAAATATATGGGTTCGAAAGCTCACATAATGGCCTACAAAAGAAGAATAATGCAAATATATAATCATTATATTCAACCCCAAAAAATGTCGCTGAAAAATGAAAAAATAATACCTTGCTGACCAGGTCAAAAAAAGATTTTGGTTTTATGATATTTTCTTGTAGATTTTCAACCGAGGAATCCAAATTTGTTGTCAAAAGTTGACTAAATAATTTTGTTGACAATGCAGTTTTGTAGCCCATTAAATTTTAGTATAATAAAGTTAAGATTTTAAGTTGCTAAACATTTTCGTTGATTTTTGGCAATTATTTTTAACAGATTTTTCATCCATACAAAGTATATTCCAGATCTTTTTTGTATGGAAAAAATGCGTCACAATCAGAAAAAAAATTATCAAAATTTAACACGAGTTTTTAGCAACTTAAAACTTGAACTTTATTTACTACAATTTAATGGGCTATAGACTGCATACTGAAAAGTCTGATTAAGAAGTTTCAAATTTAGATGCAACTTTGCAATTTAAAAAATCACCATCTAAAGACTTTTTAGCAAAGTATTAATTTTTTTCGAAAGTTCTTTTTGCAATGAAATTTTTTGAAAGTTGAATATAATAATTATATAATGGTTCTATTTTTCTCTTGTAGGCCATTATATCAGCTTTCGAACCGATATTTTCTATATTTTTATATTATTCCTATCGAGGTATTTATTTACGATTTTGTCCATCGTACAATGTGCGGCGCTGTGGGTTACTTAGTTTGGAAAAATGGACGATGTCCCCAAAGGCGAACCCAAGGCGATAAGATTCGATATTTATGCTGGACTGTGTTGGAAGCAAAGCCAACTCGATTACCCTAAACATGGTTACTATTAGTGAACTCAATAACTGCCTTGATGATTTCAATTAAAATTTTTGGACAGCTAATAATTTAGATTTCAGGTATCGGCTTAGGTTTTCTGTATTTCTGATCAAATTCAACCATTATTTTGTGATTTTTATTTTTCGACCAAAAATAATTGTTGTTTTTGGGTTTTTATTTTTTCCATCAAATTCTACCGCTGTTTTGTGATTTTATCACGAACAAGTGTTATTTTTGGGTTTTTATGATAAACGGTCAATTTTGACCGAATAGGAATCCAAATTTAACGATTTTCTTGTTGGAGAAATAAAAATAAAAAAGTAACGATCGAAAGCAGTGCCAGCGCACTCAGCTTCGCGAGACTACTAGCTGCTTGGCACTGATCTAAAAATAAAAACTACAAAATAACGATTAATTTTCACCGAAAAAATATAAATCAAAATTTAACGATTTTTTTGAGCGGAAAAATAAAAAGTAAAGTAAAAAAAAAATAACGATTTTACCATGATTTAAAAATAAATAAAAAAATCTTAATCCTTTACGGTTATTTTCAATACGTGATTTAAAACGTTCTATCTTATACTTAAATTTCTCGATTTTTAAACGAAGGATAATTTTATTTTAATTTTTCGCTACGATTTTGATGATTTGATGATTTCGCTGGTTCTAGATTTTACCACAATGTCCATCTCCAACGCCAAAACAGAAAAAAATAAAGTTTCACCCTTTCACTTATTTAATTTTTGTAATTTTTTTAGGGGTCATTTCAACTTATTGATTTTATTTCCTTTCATTTTATTTCATTTATTTTAATTGAATTTAATTTAAATGAATTAATTTATATTAAATAAATTGAAAGCCAGATGTGTGCTTCCTGTTGAGAATTTATTTATTTTAATTGAATTTAAAGTACTTTAATTAAATTTATTTTATTTAATTAAATTATACCTCACTTATTTTCATTTAATTTAATTTACTTTGTTTTGATTTAGTTTAATGCAATTCATTTGTATTTAATTTAGTTTAATTTAATTCACTTTGATTTTATTCTATTTTACTGCATTTAATTTTAATCTATTTTTAATTTTTCAGTCAATTTCAAATTATTTTACATTTATTTTCATTTTCATATGTATCATATTTATAATAAATTTTTCATTTCATTTCGTTTTATTTCATTTACATTCCTACTTGGAAATTATATTATTTTTTGAAGCGCTAAAAATAAAGTGAAATAAGTAATAATGTTTTTTTTTTTAACTTACCGACGATGTACACTGAATGACATCACGACAGTTATCGCCCTCGCCAGCGACTAAACGGAACCATTCACCGGCATCTTTATCTTTACAGAGCTCCTTCTCGAAGGACTCTTCTTTCTTGGGCTCCTCAGTTGTGGCCTGACGTCTCACACGTTCTGCAGAAGCTGAAATTGGATGAGCAAAAATAGTAAAAATAAATAATGATATTAAATACTTAATTCGAATGCAAAATAAATTTAAATAGTTGCTACAGTTTATTTAGGCAAAGCTGCGTTATTGAGAAAAATTGTTTTTGTTTTGCTTTGTAATTTTTGGGAATATTTGTTCAAGTGAAATTCGCGATATGGCCAACTAATTTGCACTTATCTTCGAAAAGCGAGCTGCATCAATAAATCAAATAAATTATAATAAATATGAATAATAATTTTGAACGCTATAAAATGATTGCCATTATTAAAATATGAAGCAAATAACCGGTTATTGCGCATCGTCAAACGTTTGACAAGCGATAATTCAAAAATCAACAAAAGAAACCGTGAGCAATTGCTGTTTATAAAACACGCCCAATAAAAGACACAAAGCGCTAGTCGGCAATAACAACAAACCGGAAGCAGATGTGTAGGCCAACAAACGATTGTGCCAATTTTTTGGTTTGGTTTTTTTTTTTTTTATATATGGATACAAGTTTACGTGTGCATGTGTGTGTGTATGCACCAACGCAAGTCATACATAACCATTTTCGGTTAAATTGGTTTAGTACGAGTATTTGAGAAGTAGGTTTCAAGTGGATACTTTTATAAAAGCTTCCTGCTTGACATACGTCAAATATTTGCACCAAAGAAAAAAATGTGGACTTAAGAGTGTCAAACATAAGTGCATACATAGGAGCATATACATATTTTTAAATCAGTTTTTCTCTGAATGAATAAGTACTAGGAATGTTAATCCCGAGATCCCGGCCTTTTCAAGGTCCCCAAAATCCCGGGATACATATAACTCCGTGCGATAGTCAATTTTACACACAAAAATCAATATATTCGCGAAACCATGAGCCAAATATAGTAAAATTACGTTTTTAGTTTTCCACTCTGACAGTAATGCAAATTGATTTAAACAAGTAAGAAAGTCTAAGTTCGGGCGGAGCCGAACATTAAATACCCGGCGCAAGTATTAAATATATGTTTTTTTCACCCTTCCGAAACCTTCCGCTAGATGGTAAGCCGAGGTGTATCAATTTTGAGTAAATTAGCGTCCTTCAATTTCGAAATATTGAAGTTTCAAGCATTTCTTAAATTTACCGTTACATGAGAATCGGCCGTTATTTTAGTCCGATTTCAATAATTTTCAACGTTTTGCTTACACGTGGCAAGTACAATAACCATACCGAGTTTGGTACAAATTGGTAGAACGGTTACCGATATACTTATATGTGATCATAAGTGGGCGGTGCCACGCCCATTTTCCAAAATTTTACCATAAACGTATTTCTTGGTAAAGAATTGTTGCAAGCATCAATTTTGAATAAATTAGCTTCAATATTTAATGATTTATCGAAGATTTTGTATTTCTCTAAATTACCGTTATATGGGATGTGGGCGTGGTTATTGTCCGATTTTAAAAATTTTCGGCCATTTGGTATGTTGTGCGAAGACCAACAACTGTGCCAAGTTTGGAAGAAATTGGTGCAGCGGGTACCAAGATATACACATGTAACCATAAGTGGGCGTGGCTACGCCCATTTTCCAAAAATTTATAATATTCTTATTTTTCGTCTAAAACTTATTATAAATATCAATTTTGAGTGAATAATCTCCAGTAGTTACTAAAATATCGCAGTTTTCGTATTTCTGAAAATTACCGTTATATGGGAAGTAGGCGTGGTTATTGAGCGATTTTAAAAATTTTCGGCCATTTGGTATGTTATGCGAAGGCCAACAACTGTGCCAAGATTGGAAGAAATTGGTGCAGCGGTTACCAAGATATACACATGTAACCATAAGTGGGCGTGGCTACGCCCATTTTCCAAAAATTTATAATATTCTTATTTTTCGTCTAAAAATTATTGTAAATATCAATTTTGAGTGAATTATCTTCAGTAGTTACTAAAATATCGCAGTTTTCGTATTTCTGGAAATTACCGTTATATGGGAAGTGGGCGTGGTTAAAGTCCGATTTCGCCCATTTTCAATACCAACCTACCTTGGATTAAGAGAAACCTACATACCAAGTTTCGTTGAGATATCTCAATTTTTGCTCGAGTTATCGTGTACACGGACAGACGGACAGACGGACAGACGGACAGACGGACAGACGGACAGACGGACAGACGGACGGACAGACAGACATGGCTTAATCGATTTCTTTTTTCATCCTGATCATTTATGTATACATTTGTCTATATCTATCTCGATTCGTTTTGGCTGTTACAAACAACCGTTATGTGAACAAAATTAATATACCCTTGTGCACAAGTGCGCTCGGGTATAAAAATTCAGAGAAATTTGCTTTGAGAAGAAGTATGGGAATCGAATTAAAGAGGAAATCCTGTAGAATATAAACAGATACAAGTTTTTGGTGCAGCAGGACTGGTAAGTATTAAAAATGTCCTTTTAAAATTTTATCCTTGAAATTTCCCAATATTTGTTTTTGAAAAAATTAATTGTTAAGGACATAATATAAACTCGATAATATCCTCAAATTTAGTCCTTCTAACTTTATAAGCTTTAAAAATTACCTATTCGTCCTTGTGCATCCAAAAAATTTAAATATTTTGACATTATGCAGAAATTTCCTCTTGCATTTGGTACCCATATTTGTATTCTAGATTGCACTGAATTTTTTAAATAATTTTTGGAGTCAATCATATCTTTGAAATTACAAAGTTTTTTGAAGTCAATGCTGACTTCAGAGAGTAAAAATAAAAATGCCACTTTAAATAAAAAGTAGGCTTCAAACCTATTTATTTATTATTTATTTTGTGGTAGGAGAGCTTCTCAAACAATATAGAAGCGATTTAAGTTGTTGAAAAGTAATGAATATCTTAATCCCGGGACTTATCCCGTGATTGTCATAACGACATCCCGAAAATCCCGGGATCGGAAAAAGCTGAAAAATTAACATCCCTAATAAGTACCTATGCATGTATGTACATACATGTGTACATTAGAGTGTCTTATTAAAAAAAGTTGCGGTTTTTCCACTGGAATAAAAAAATTATTATATTTTAATACTTCCGTGAAAATATATCGGAAACAATTAAAATTTACGCGAGCTGCAGTGATTTGGAAATGCCTCTAAAAATCTCATTATTTTGATTCCGTTGATACATTTTTTAAACATTTTTATGCAGAGCTTCTAAGCTTAAACTCTTCTATCATTTGAGTTGATTTTTTAGAAAAAGTTATCTTTAAAAATCTTTTATTTATAAAAAGCGCGATTTTTAGAGATATTTTCAAATGGGAGCAGCTCACGTAACTCTTAATATTTTTTGAAATACTTTCGCGGCAGTCTAAAATGTAACAGATTTTATTATTCTGATGAAAAAATAGTACCAAAATGGCGAGTGTCGCACCCTTATGTACATATGTGCTTGTTGTGTTTGAAAACACGTGTGCTTTTGGCACATAACACCCATTAGTGCCAGTCGCCTTTGTAGACTAATTGTTGGGCGGTCAAAATATATAGAAACTGGTGCAGCCGGTTGTTGATGATTGAGGGCTTTGCTTGTTGATGCTGAGCTAACTTTATGACTTAAATTATAAAGAACATGGCACGAAATGGTACCAATTTAAGTGACAGTCGTAAAAATGGCTAAGAAATAGCAAAACGAGTCACCAACAGTAGCAACAAAGTGGCAAAAGATTTGTAAAGTAAATTAAGTTCTGATTGCTTTGCCGTTTGTAAGAAAAAGTTAATTAGATCTAAACAGAGTAGAGTGTGAAATAAGCAAAAGTTTTTATTTGCTAATATGTATATAGAAGGCATTAAAAAGAATGAAAGTTTGAGTTACGAAAACAAGCAAAGAACTGGCGTAGAGAATTGCAAAATGACCGGGTAATTTTTAGATAGACAGAAAAATAATGTCCCACGTATATATGTATATGGCCCCTTTATACTGCAGTTTCTACACTAATGCGCGTAAAGCAAATAAGAGAACCTCAGCAATGAATTAAGCAACGAATATGTATGGTAACTACCCATATACATAAGTATGAATCCAGATTCTCCAAAAGTTTAAAACCCAATATAAGGGTCATGAGTTGCCGCAAAGGTAGAGTAAATGGACAAGTCAACATTCTTTGCCTAGAAGCGATAAAAAAGTCGTTTAATAATCTCATTATTGAAGATTTCAATGGTAATAAGGATAGCTAATGCGCTTAACTCGAATATTGTGAGGTAACAGCGAGATCAGTAGGCACAAAAGAAGGACACAGCAAGGCAAAAAATTAAGACAACAAGCACGAACAAGAATCTTTTGCGTGTGTGGCGATTTGATAGCTGAATTGCGCACGAAAAGGATCAGCAGAGTTTTCTCGACAGATCTTCAAATTGAAAAATCTATGCATCTCGACGAGCTTTCTCGAGACTGAAATTTCCTGTAGTATATCGAGGGCTTATATTCAATAGAATCTATCTGCAAATTTCAGAGAAATGAGATTCTAATATAAAAATCCACCTAAGACTTAGCTGTCATCGATGAGGTTGATGATGACCTTGTATATCGCTTACTAGAGGAATTTGTTATTGAATTGCATAGTTAAAATTAATATCAGTGATGACAGTCCCAGATGCCCTCGATATGTAGTAAAGGAATGCGTCATATCCTTGCTAACGGATGTAACGCTAAGTTGATCTCAAAGTAAAGAGCAGCAAAGCCTTCTCCGTCCTTTCACTTGAGACTAAAACTCTTTGTCGACTTCGACCTATATCAAACATTGCAAATCGGCCGTGAAATCTATGGAACTGAAATGTCCGAAAAGGCTTGATCCTAAATATATCGTCAAGAGACGTTCTTTTTGGCATCAAGAGACGAACTAGGATGCCAAATGGATTGCAGCTATTGCTCTTGCTATCCGACTATAACGATCAGCTGAATTCAGAAAAACAAACACCTGCGCGGCTGGCATCACAATACCCAACAATTATTCGCGTGCAATAACAACTC